TGCTTATAAACAAGTTTCCATCTGGTATTAATTTCCTTAGCCTGAAAGACTTCCTTTAGCATTTCTGTACTGCAGGTCTTCTGATGACAACTTTCGTCAGTTTCCTTTTATCTGTAAATGTCTTTATTTCACCTTAATATCAGTGGTACTATTATGACCCCATTAATTAATTAAAATAATTATCATCTTGTAGTCAATCTGGTTTCCGCTATTTCCTCTTCTTCTCCTCTCCTTTTCCTTCGCCTTCCTCCACTTTTCTATTATTTCAAAGTAAGTTCAAGACAGCATATCATTTCATCTATAAATATTTCAGTGTGTATGACTAAATAAGAATATTAAAAGGCACATACTCTAATACCATAATCATACCTAAATGAATTAAACAATAATTTCTTAATGCAACATGTATAAAGAAAACTTTTTAATATGATGTCCATCAAGAAAACTTCTTACATTGCATTTCAAGCCACCTAAGCACAGATGGCTCTTGAATCGTTACAAAATCCAGGCCCTACCAAAGAGATTATCTTGGGGGCTAGAGAGGCCTTAGACCAAAGAGACAATTCATAGCCCCTGCAGCCACCAAGTACACACACACAAAAAAAGATATTTAACACCTGATTGTCCTCTTTAGATATTAGCAATAAACATCTGCTACAATCCCAAGCCACCAAATAGGGTGGTCATAGTTGAATAAGAATCACTAGAACAAACATGTTTGGAAGCAATCCAGGTATCAGTAAATCAAATTCTTCCCTGGAAACTCTAGTCTCTTCCAAACTTAATGGAATTATAGATTTTGCGACCAATCTCACAGCTGATTGGAAACTTTGGGACCAAGAACCTATCAGAACTCATGTACCTTAGGCCATTGAGACTGTAGAACTTGTCATTGCTAAGCGGCTACTGCTGCCCTGTTCCAGCGTCCTAATGAACACAGAAAGACTCACTGAACGAAAAGTCATGACTCTGAACATGACTTCATCCTGCAAGGGGTCTTCTCTGATCTAAATTCCCATGGAGTGGGTCAAGCCTCAGAAGATTCCACTGTAAAATGAAAATGGCACCTCCAATTAGGGACAAAAAGGACCTCAGTTTCCTTCATGAACAGGATGCTGAACATGCATTAAACGCAGTCAGTTTTGGCCATGAATTTACCCAACCTGCTGACTTAACTGGAGCCTCATTTACAAGTCTTAGGAGAAGGAAAAGTTCTAGCTTGCAACAAGAACACCAACTAACATATGTAGAAGGAATTAAGAAATTAGAAAATCACTAGGCATAGTATTAATTGCTTCAGATAAGAATCATCAATGGATGCTAAATGGATGAAAGTGTGATAAGAAACAGTATTTGCAGATTCGGGTATTTTTTTAATTAATTTAAAACTAATCACTCAAATACTTTTTAGTTACTTATTAATTAATAAGTGCAAATTATTTAATAATTAGCTATCTTAACCAAGTGGTAAAGTCAATATCCTAAGCAATGTGACAAACTGACATAGTAGGTCCTGCATTTGATTCACTGAGAAGAACACAGCACTACTTGTGGGTTATTCCTGCCAAGAATGTAAAACCTGAATGTAACCTTGAGGAAATATCAGTCAACCACAAACTGAAGGTCATTCAACAAAGTAGCAGATAGTACTCTTCAAAAGTGTCAAGTGAGAAAAGACAAGAAAAAACTGAGTGATTGCTCCACATTGAAGGTGGATATAGAGACATGAAAACTACAAAAGTGACCCTGGACTGGATTCTGGACTGAGAAGAAAAAGACAATTATAAAGAACATTTTTGGAACAATCGGTAATAATGAACGGAGTCTTGGGTTAGATTGTGGTGCTGTATAAATGCTGATCTCCTGATATTGGAGAATGTACTTTGATTTTTCAACATAGTGTCCTTGTATTTTAGGACATACTGAAATGTCCTTGTTTTTTAGGACATACTGAAATATTCATGTTTATAACTTACTCTCAAATGATTCAGAATAATAAGCAAAAATGGTAAAATGTTAACTGAGGAAATCAGGTGAAAACTATAAAGGAATTATTTGTACTATTTCTGCAACTTTTTTGTAAGTTAAAAATTATTGCAAAATTAAAAGTTTTTTTTGTTTTGTTTTGTTTTTGTTTTTGTTTTTTGTAAAGGAGAGGCTATCAGCTTCAGTTCCAAGGTTTAATGATTGTTTATTATGTATGTTATACAGTTCTAGTCTCCAGGCTTTATTTTAAGTTCTTTCTTGATTCCTGTCCATGCAGCCTTGTCACAACCTGAGACAAAACAGGTGGCTTCAAATGAACCTGTTGGCATTTGGGGAAAGTAAGTGTGTGTGTGTGTGTGTGTGTGTGATATAAGCGAGAGGGTAACGAACGAAGTTGTTGTGCATGTATTGGCAGTACATCGTATCCTCAGACAAAAATGTCACTTGGGGACCTTCTCAGTATTGATAGAGATTAACATTCAAACTGAATGAGACGGTGAGAACATCAAGAACAGTTAATCCCAATGGATCACTGACCTAACTCCTCACAGTCTAAGGTAGGCAATCATTTCATTAACCCTTGACAGACAATTTGCTCTCATTTAGAGTTATAAGCAGATTAATAAAATAAGACGCAAAACA